CTGGGGAGTGGACGTAGGTCAAGATTTGACCGAACCACTATAAATCTGGTGTGTTCTTTCTTATTTTTCTTACGCATTAATTTCATTGCAAGTAGTTTACTATGGTTGAAAAGTTTATTTTTTAAACTTTAAATTTAACTTGCATTAATAATTAAAAAGGTTTTCTAAAAATCCAAGAGTAGAAGTATAATTTTTAAATTACCAATTCACCCCCCTCTTGGTTTGCCTTGGGACAATTAATTAGGCTTAACATCCTAATTCATATTGAACAAGTTTCCAACATTGTCCCCTTTTAAGGGAATGTTTGTTGTCGTCTACTTTGATGACATTCTTATTTATAGTCAGTCGACGAGTCAGCACTTGGACCACTTAAGGCAAGTTTGCCAGGTCTTAAGAAAGGAACAACTTTATTTCAATCCTAAGAAATGTACCTTCCTTGTAGATTGTGTTATCATTTTGTGCTTTATTATGTCATCCCAAGGGGTCTTTGTAGATCCTAAGAAGGTGATGGTCATTGTAGAATGACCTGCTCCTCATAACATTCAGGAAGTTTGTAGCTTCCATGGACTTGCCATCTTCTATAAGAGATTTATCAAAAATTTCAGCACCATTGTATCTCCTATCACCGACTATCTTAAGAAGGGTGACTTCCACTAAACCTCGACTGCCACCAAAGCTTTTGATGAGATTAAAAAAAGAATGGTGGAAGCCCTAGTGACGACACTTCCTGATTTCTCCAAAGTCTTTGAAATGACCTACGACACTTTGGGGATCTGAATTTGAGGAGTTCTATCCTAGGAAGGTCACTCGATAGCTTCTTTCAATGAAAAGCTAAATCAAATTTGGCAGCGTTATTCCATATATGAAGAAGAGATTTCTGAAGTGATCCAATCTCTTCGTTATTTGCAACACTACTTTCTCTTGCAAGAGTTCATTATTTTCTCAAATTATAAGGATCTGCGTTATATCAACTCCCAAAAGAAGTTGAATGTATGTCATGATCAATGGGTAGAATTCCTACAGGAGTACACTTATACCCTTAAACATAAAGTAGGAGTTGAGAATAAAGCTATTGATGCTCTCAGTCGTCATATGATGACTACCACTGAAATGAGGGCTAAAGTCGATGGATTTTACCAAATTAAAAGGAATGATTTGGAATGTCCCGACTTCAATAAGACTTACTCTCTCCTGTCCATAGGTAACATATGCCGTATGGACGATTTCCTTCTGTAGGAAGGTTATCTTTTCAAAGCTCAAAAGCTTTGCATCCCGAGCACCTCCTTTAAGGAATTTTTTGTGTGGGAACTCCACGCCGGAGGCCTCTCTACGTACTTTGATAGGGATAATATGATTGAAGCCGCGAAGTATCATTTCTTTTGGATCTGTCTAAAGAGGGATGTCGGTAGGATGATCAGTAGGTGTCACACCTACTAGCTGGCCAAATAACACAAACAAAACACTAGTTTGTACACCCCTCTGCCTGTCCCTAGATGTCCTTTGTAGGACGTTTGCATGGATGTTATCTTAAGCCTGCCTAAGAATGTCCGTAGGAATGATGCCATCTATGTTGTAGTCTATTGATTTTTTAAAATAGCCCATTTCCTACCTTCCTCCAAAACATCTAACGCTTCCCACATTGCCAAACTTTATTTCAATGAGGTCGTCCGCTTACATGGTTTACCTAAAACCATTGTATTAGATAGGGATGTTAAATTTAGGGACTATTTTTGAAACACCCTATATATGAAAATGGGCACTAAATTGTAATTCTCCACAACCTTTCATCCATAAATTGATGGTCAAATCGAGGTAGTCGATAAGAGCTTAGACAATCAATTACGATCCCTGATAAGTGAGCATATTAAGGATTGGGACTCCATACTCCCCACAACTGAGTTTTCCTATAATAATTCTGTGAACCGAATCACTGCCTAAGTTCTTCTAAAATTGTGTATGGGTTTAAACCTAGACAGCCGCTAGATCTCATACCCATGTGCTCTAGGTATAGGATTTCTGAGTCTGCTTCCTCATTTGCATCACATATGCATGAACTTCACAATGCGATTGCACACAAAATTAAAAAGATCAATAATAATTATAAACTATCTAGTGATCATAAACAAAAATTTAAAACTTTTAAGGTTGGTGACTCCATGATGGTGCGGATCCATTTGGAACAGTTCTCGTAAGGAATGGTTAAGAAGTTGTATGCCAAGAGTGTTGGACCATTCAAGATTATTAAGAAAACCAATGATAATTCTTGTGTAGTAAATTTGCCTGTAGAATTCAATATCAATCCCTCCTTGAACATAGAAGATCTAGTAGCATATGAAGGTCCTGATTTTAACCCACAAAATTCACTTATACAGCAGCCCAGTGTGACCCCACCTCGTGAGAACCCAAACTTACCTCCACTTACAAACATTGAGTGATGATATCATCTCCACAAGAGAAGGTGGATGACGGAAGTACTTGATTAGGAGGGGAGGCAAAGCTAAGTCAGAGGGCACGTGGTTGGATCACGAGGAGCTATAACAGATTGACCCCGACACTTTGGAGATCTATGAGAGCACACGGGACAGTTACTCAACGGAATCGAGCTTTTTCCCACCCCGGGAGAATGATGGGGACATCAGAGCTTGGAATGTTTATCTGAGGCATAGCCGTCGATCTATGGCCACGACTGCGTCGATGTATTTTTAAGTTGTTATATGTATTTGTCTTTTATTTATTTATGTTTGTACTTGCTTTTGTTGTTTTTTTCTTTTACCCCTAACTTAAGGGTGGTCATGTGTAAGCCCAATGGGCGATGTTGTCTTTTATTTTTGAGTCTATTGTATAAGGCTATATATAACACTTAAGTTCTTTTTTTATGAGTAATGGATGAATGATAAAATTTTTCTATATTATGAGTTCTTGTGAGAGCTTGAGAGAGTTAGGAGAGAAATCCCTTGGAGAGGGAATCATATCACCCACCAACCATGGAAGTGACCGGGTAGTGCGTAACTTGTTTTATCTATTCTTACTTTCTAACCTCCATCCCACCTTAATCCTCGAAACCCATGACTCACCCCACCTCAAGCCGTTGGCCACCTCCACAAAACCCCACCACCAGCCACCAATGTCCCCACCCTCACCTGTCGGCTAAAACCCAACCCTACCCTTCACCCGATCCCATCTCCCTCCACCACCACCCATGGCCAAGCCCATAAACCGTCGGCCCCTCCCTTTGATTTTCATCCATCATCACTTGCCATTAACCATTCCTAAATTAGCTCTCCGTATTTTAGGTAACTCAAATAATTATCAAATTCAAATATATTTGAATTTGAAATTATTACCTAAAATATAAATCCTATTTTAGGAAAGTTGCAAATCTTATTCTATTTAAAATTTAAATGAAATTGGGATGAGATCACTATTCCCTAATTTAATTTCCTAAATCAAGAAAGCATTAAATGCTTCCATAATCGTCTCTCCTCTCACTCTATGCCGCTGGCCCCAGACAAGTTATCTTTGGAATTATTTCCAAAAGACAATTTACACTCTTGGAAATAATTCATACCATTCTCCCTCCCTCTTGGCCAAAATTCCCAAGGCCCCCACCTCCTTACTTCTTTCCAAAATCCCATCTTTATCTTTTGGAAGTAAATCCCAAGACACCTCTCGCCTACGTCCCCCCTCTCATATCTTTCCTCTTTTATTAATTCCAAAGTTAGGAATCAATTAGAGGAGTTCATTTCCCAAATTTCCTCCATATTTTTTATTCTAAAAGTTGAACCTAATTTTTCTCCACATCCTCACCCTTGGCCGGCCATATCTCTCCCTCTTCCCCTCTTGAATTCTAATTTTTCTCCACATCCTCACCTTTAGATATGTGCATCATCTTCAAACACTTCAACCCTTTGAACCCGAAGAATGTCCGATCCCGATCTTGATTCTGGGTTCATTTACTACGAGCAAGAAAACATCGACATTCTCCAGTCAACCTTCTTCGTCTTCAACCCGGATGTCGACAACTCTATCGAAAAATATTTGGATCGCATCATCTTCACACACTTCGAAGCCATCGAAGAACAACTTGCCAACATCCAATGGCAAATTGTTTCCGGTCATCAACAAGGGTGAACTTATTCCCCTATTCAATTATCTTCTTAGTTCAATAATCTTGTAGGTGGCGATCCAATCGCAAGGGATCGTTCCTCGCTCTCTACCTTCGCTTAGTAATCGTAGGATTTGAGTTTTACTTTATATGTTTCTAATCTCAATGTTAACTGAGGAATTTTATTGAATAACTACTTAATTTGCATCTTGTTGAATTTCTAAGTTACTTTGGTAATTCAAGTTCTTAGCATGTGATGTGGCCTAAGGGTAGCTACCCCTCCTTTGTTTTCTATCATCGTTTAGTGGCTAACAGTTTTTTTTAACACTTTTAATTATTATTTGCTCTTATTTAAAACGTGCAAGTTCTTATCGCTTTCATCTAAAACATACTATCATGCATCACAGTTGATCGGGGTACTATTGTCGGTAAGAGGCAAAGGTTGAAGGTACTATAGTTGGAGGGGATGTTGGTCGGAGGGATCCAAATTGGCAATGGACGTTGAAGGGACTATAGTCAGAGAGTGACGACGTTTGGAGGGACCATAATTTGCACTCCATGCTGGACAGAGGGATCATAGTCGGCGGGCAATGGTGATCGAAGGGACAAAAATTGGCAGGCGGCAGTGGTCAGACTAACCGTAGTCGACGGTAACGGTGGTTGAAGGGATCGTAGTTGAAGAGCAATTATGATCGGAGAGACCCTAGCCGGCGGGCAATAGAGGTCGGAGTGACCTTAGTCGATTTCAAATTTTAAATTAATATTTATGATATTTACCAACAAATATATCTAGAATGATGTGAGTATTCACTCTTCTTAACTTGTAAATGACCCTTGTATTATTTCGGGAATGAATAGCGCACACAGGAAAAAAATATTTAGAAGAAAACAGCTGTAAATAAGTTTATATTTAGAAAAACTTTTTTGTAGATTTAGATAACATTAATATAAATACAACATGTTTATATAAGCCGAATAATAAGAAAAACAGCCAAAAAAAAAATGTACAAGAATGCAAAAAAAAACCTTATAACTTTTAAAATCCTGTGATAATAGTAAGCAGTACTAAAAAGTTCTATCTTGTGAGCTTGAGACACTTGATCCAAAGAATCACCAAGGAGAGAATTCTGTACACGAAGATGAATCCCAACATCACACCAATATTACTCCACTTGTGAGACTCTTCCATTCCTTGCTGTCTCAAGAGCATCTCTCCTGTTAGAAGACAGCCTCCTTTTCCACTCTGTATACACTGCTGCTTTCCCTTCTCTCCAAATTCATTTAGCAAGAAAGCTTCAAATGGGTACTTGAACAAACTCAGATAGTACATGAATATCCAGTACCTGGGTATACTCTGCTTCGATATGAAGTAGCCAGAGAACAGAAAAAAGGAACCCATAAGCCCAGCGATCACCGAATTCCCCATAATAAAATTTGGAACCAGAGCGCCGAAACAAGCAACAAAGGCGTTTGCCATCAACATCACCAGCCAAATAACAAGCGAAAAGAAAAGATAGTTGTCGATTTCCCTCCTTAGACCAATGAGCCAGTACACCGGAGTAGCGTAGAGAATTGAAGCGGCAAAAAGTATTGGAAGAAAAACAAGAGAATTAGATATTACATACGATGACACCCTGTAAGCTCCACGAGAAGTCTCTCTCATGAGTATCCTCCGCTCCTGCAAGAAGATGGGAAGGCCTTCGACAGCGGAAGAGAGAAGGAACGTGAGGCTGAAGGCAAAGAAGCCTACTTTAGCCTGCTGGTCTTCAGCATTCATAAATATGGTTCCAAGTCCTAATCCGGCCACGGCTGATTGAATCATTCTCGCCACGAAAATTTGCCTTGTTCTGACCATGTTCTTAGCAAATCTTTCGGTAAGAATTAGTACCTCCTTAATTCGAGAATTTGCGCAGCAGTAATTACTTTTCTCTCTCTTCTCACTCAGAACAGAATATGGTACTCTGCAGCTTTCCTGCATCTGCGTTTCGATTGTTAAGACTTCCATTGCGTCCATGGCATACTCGAGCACATTGATATGCGGAGGAATTATGTTACCCGCTTCCTCTAGCCGCTTCTGGAGTAGAGAAAGCGGCCCCTGGTGCCGTATGACGCCGTCGGCGATGAGAACGACGCGGTCAAGAAGCTCGAGGATCCGAAACCCTGGTTGATGAATGGTGAGTATCACCGTCTTGCCGTTACTAGACGCCATTGACTTAAGCATTGTGACAATGAGGTGAGCCGATGCGGAGTCAAGCCCTGACGTGGGTTCGTCCAGCAACAGCACGGCGGGGTTGTGAACAAGCTCGATACCGATGGAAACCCGCCGCCGCTCGCCGCCTGAAACTCCAGGGGTTCCTGGCCCGCCGATCCTTGATCTAGCGACGGGCTGAAGGCCCAGCTGTAAAAGCAACGCTCGAGCGCGGAGAGTAGCCTCGCGGAGCGTAGAGCCCAGCCGCAGGCGCGCGCTGTAGACGAGGGACTCCTCGACGGTTAGCATGGGGAAGAGTGCGTCGTCTTGGGTGACATAGCCCGAGACACGGCGGAAAGAGGAGGTTTCCATCGCCCGGCCATTAACGAGGATAACGCCGGAGACAGTTTTAGGGTGAATGGCGCCGGCGAGCACGGATAACAGCGTGGATTTACCGGCACCGCTTGGGCCAACGATGGCGAGAAGCTCGCCAGGCCTGGCCTCGCAGGTAACGTTGTCTAGAATGGTTTTGTGGGTTGATTTTCCGGTGGCGATGTCATAGGAGAGAGACTTAGTCTCGATGAAGTAGCAGGTATTCCGGCCGATGTTTCCCGCGAATTCCGCCATGGATTTAATTGGCAAGTCCATTCGGTGAGGGATGGTCGCGATTAAAGATGTTTGCGAGGAATGAGGAAGAAGAGCGAGATGAAAGGTAGCTGCGAGATACAAGATGGGATATGAAAGGGTACGAGTAGCCTTGGAGCTGAGCTAACACACCAAACCTAACTGCTATTGCTGGCTTATGCAGAGTTGCGTGCTCAGTAGGCTTGACTGGGTGGACACATCTCAAGAATCAGCTTGATTCTATTTAGATGTACTTGCTTATTTTATTATATAATTAAGCAATAATAAATAAAATAAGTCATGTATTATAAATAATTATGTGACGGCGATAATTTTTTTTTTATGTTAATCTCGAATTATATGAATTTAACTTGAACGAATCAGAAGGATAGAAATAATGAACGAATCAGGTCCATCATGAACTCATCAAGCCAATAAAAAACTCGCCAGGATAAATTTAAACTCTTCATGATGAGGGTTGCATTTTGGAATATTGAGGCGGTCGAGAAGTATAAATTTTAACATCTTAGTTTTGTACGAAGATACAACAAGCATTCATACAAGAGAGAGGGTGTAGCATTTCATAAGAGAAATCATGATTTTCACGTGGAAAATCCTGAAAAGTGAAAGACCAACAGGGTCTGGCCCAGCTCGAATGAATCCACTAGTATTTGAAGTTTATTATAAATGACGCCCTTCCTTTAATGGAAGGTCTTGGTTTGATGTAGCAAATATATATCATACATAATATATTGCGTTTTCAATTGGAAAAATCAGAATTGATATATTCGTTTGGTTGGCAAGACTATATCCGTATGGCGACGAAGGTTGGAAAAATTATATTCGGGTGACAGTGGTCGGAAGGACCATGGTCGGCAGGCATAGAGGTCAGAATAATCGTTTTCAAGCGACGGAGGTTGGAAGGACAGTAGTCCATGTTGCGAGTCTTAATTCGAAATTATAATTTTGATGATATCAAATATTTCTGACACTTCTATTTTTTCTTCGACTGTCTTGTCTACTAACTTTTCAAGTTCACAAAGTCAATTGCAAATCAAGATAGCTCTAGATTGGGTAGTTTGGGACTGAGTCAGTGTTTAAACTATTGTTAAGTATTTTTTACTTTTTATTGAGTCAATTGTAACAAAGTGTATCATGATTCTAAGTAACCTTGCACACACACACTCAGGAAAAAATTCTGTCTATTTTTAAAGTTTTTTTTTTTTATTGCATCGTCCGGGACGATCCCAAATCGTCCTAGATAATCAGTTAAAAATAAAAACTCTAATAGGGCATCCTAAGGCAGCCACAATTAAGTGAATCATCATGGACGATATTAACATCGTCATAGACGATAGGCTCAAATCAGAAAGAATCAACCGCCACATCTTTCAATTGGACATTATCGAGGACATCGACCATGACGATGTAGTGCAATTATTCCTAAATTAGTTAGGTAATTAAGGCAAGCAATTAAGATTTGATTGCTCGATCATATCACCCTGGACGATCACAGGATCGTCCAGGATGATCAGTTAAACAAATCTTAGTTTCTTCCTAGACAACCGGAATGATATTCTGGATAATGTGTATTATTTTGCACTAATCATCCGGGATGATCCCAAATCGTCCTGGACAATCAGTTATTTCTCCATCATCCAGACATACAATCAAGGTGATGTTCTAGACGATATTTTATGTTTTGAACTAATTGTTCGGAATGATCGTGAAATCGTTCTTGATGATCAATTTAGTTTTTCATCATCCAAACATACAATCAGGGTGATGTTCTGGATGATACTCAATAATTTTGAACTAATCGCACATGACAATGTCTTATCGTACTAGATGATCAGAACAAATAAGTCCTTTAATAATCTAGACTCTCCCTGATCGTTCTAACTAATTGAGATGAATTTGTGATTTGGTTTAAGTTCGTGATTTGATTTAAAAGTTTTAAAATACAAATTCATCCCCCCCCCCCCTCTTCGTTAGCCTCGAGACTAGTTCATAAGGGCTTAACGTCCCTAACAAACTTTCAAGTGGTATCAGAGCACTTTCATGTGGTATCATAGTGGGATTCATAAAAACAAGTTTTTGAAAGCTTTTGAATTTTGATCCATGGCTAATTTTGATAATCATAATACAGCAGAAGGGTATTCTATTACCCAACCACATTTGTTTGATAATATTACAATTTATTTTTTGTAAACTCGCATGTCAATATTTTTACAATCTATCGATTATCGCATGTGGATGCTTGTTAAAGAAGGCTATTCTCGACCTTCTCATGAACTTAATGAAATTAAAACTAAAATTCCTTTTACTGAATGGACTTTTAATGAAAGAGATTTATCACAACTTAATGCAAAATGTTTGAACTATTTTTTCTGTTCTTTGAAATCTGAAGATTATATGTGCGTTTCAACTTGTGCAACTAGTAAAAAAATTTAGGATAAATTATGTGTAACTTATGAAGGAACAAATTAAGTTAAGCAAACATGATTGAATATTTTATTGCATAATTACGAACTTTCTTGTTTGAAACCTTTTGAATCATTTACTCAAATTGTTACTTCTTTGCATGCATTAGGAAGAGAACTCACAAATTAATTTTCATGCAGAGGAGGAAACCATAAACTTATGTTTAATGGCTGATAATGAGCATGAACAATTTGATCAAGAAGATATATGTGAGCCAACCTATAAAAAATTAGTAGAAATTTATGATAAAATTCATGCATCATATAGGAAACTAAAAAAATCTCATGCTAGTCTAAAATTGGAATTTTTAAATTTGCTAAAACCATATAAAATCCTTTTAAAAGATAACTCTCAAATTAATTGCAATCACATAGCTTTACTTGATGAATTTGATATATTAAAAAAAAAAACATACTAAACATGATTCCTTAAAATTATCTCAAGCTAATTTAGAAAAAGAATGCAAAAGATTAGAAAATCTAAAAATGCTTGAAAATAACAAACCACGATTACATGCATTTCATAACTTTAAAAGGAAGCACCACTACCCGAATAGATTAAGAAATTCTTTTCCTGGTGTTAGATGTTTTTTATGTCGCATGCTAAGACACATCTCACACACTTGCACCATTCACCGTAGTATATATTGGGTGTGGAGACCCAAATTGCATAATTCACAACATAACACACATGCATTGCATTCTTCTTTTCATAAGAAGGGACCCAAACATATTTGAAATAACTAGATCGATAAGAGGGGGGGGGGGGAATTATGAAAACTTTGTAACAATTATTAAAAACCTAAGCAAGAGTTTTAATTTTTTGGTGTTTTTAAATTTTTAATAGAAAAACTTTAACTACTACGAAGGCAAATAATTGAACTCAGCATGCAACAATGAAATCCTTTGTTTTTTTCTTTCACAATTTTCACCAAGAAAATATTATGAAAATAAAGTGCAAGCAATAAAAAAAGCGATAAGGAAAAAGTACATCGAAATTTTATAGTGGTTCGGTTAAATCATGACCTACATCCAATACCCGGACTCCTCCGCTCCAGGAATTTCACTACAAACTATATCCCTCCTTTTTCCCCCCTCGGCAAGGCGGAGAATCCCTCATAAGACTCTTTTTCACCAACCCAGCGTGGCGGAGTGCCAAGCGCTGTTCTTACCCTCCTGTCGACGGCATAGTACCTTCTCATTTTTCTCCCTCCTGAAGAAGTCAGAGTTCCTTTGATGTCACGGATGTAGAAGAGTCTCCCCCCTTAGAGAGCCTCCCACGAGTTCTTCTCGGGCCACAAGAGGAGCAAGATGCAGCAAGAATGGAGCAACAGTATGATCTCCCTCACACCTCTTCTCCCTCACCAAGCTAACCTTCTCCTTCCTCTCTCAAACCCTAAAAACTTCTCAAGATCTCTTTCCTAAGGAATCCCTCTCTAATCACATTCCCCACTTTATGTGTCTCCCGAAAACATAACAATTTTGACACATAAAACGGGCTCCAAAATCCCTGAAATTTTTAAAGTAGTCATTACTAACGTACAGTATAATTTCCAATCATATAGTATGATATGTATAACATGCCTCATCTTGGTATGAAGATGTACAAACAGTTCAAAATATACTCGTACAGTATGATACTCAATTGTGCGGTATGATCCTCAACACCACTACTCGTACAGGATGATAGCAGGGATGAGCGAAAGTCATCTCTGTACATCGTATGGTACGATCCACATCATACGGTATGAATGGTTAAAATCAAGGCATCGTTAAGGACAAATTCTGGGATGATCAAATGTCATCTCTGTTCATCGTATGGTACGATCTAGATCGTATAGTATGATAAGGCAAAAATAAGGGATCGTCCAGGACAATATCCGGGATGATTAGAATTCATCTCTGTTCATCGTATAGTACGAACGTGCTCGTACAGTATGATTATAAATCAGTAATTAGGCCTTGATTTATTCCATTAATCATGGAGTAAGTATTTAAAATAAATCAAATATTATGAATTTCTTCGTAAAGTACGAACGGTTGAAAATAACTTACTTAAGTTAATATGGTGGCTAGGGTTCTAGATTTGTAACACATCGTACTGTACGATATTATTCATGCCGTATGATCTGTTCACTGAAAACATTTTACAAGATCAGATCATACAGTACGAACTAAATTCGTATAGTATGAACTAAATTAGTACAGTACGAATTAAATTCGTACAGTACGATCACCAAAGAAAGAAAATTTATATTTTTACTTTTAAAACCCTCTCCCCCTATGTGTGTACATGGTTGCTCATACTTACATGCAGTTTGTGGCCAGACTCAAGAAAATAAAAATAAAATAAATAGAAAATTAGATTATACCAGACTCACACTTCTACTCTACCCAGTCTTGAGTCTTCCTGTTGTCCTGAGTAATTTGTGATCTTCATGAAATATTAGTACTCATAGACAATAGCAGAAAAAAATGATATTTAATGAATAGATAGTTTAGGTGACATTATTTGTTATCATTAAAATCTCAAACTGGAGGTCATGGGTTGCAACAATCTCCCCATTTTTTATGATGGAAAATACTGTTTGTTGTAGGCTTGTTTGAAAGGCATTTTTTTTTATTTTTTTTATTTTATTTAGACAAAAGAAAAAGAAATGCAATATAAAATAGGAAAAAAAATGCAGTACATAATAGAAAAAGAAATGCATTCTATTTAAACA